CGAGCAGCAAGCAAATCCTTGTAGATCCTGAAGGAAGGACTGGAGTTACTGTTCACAGCTGCACTTGGCAACACGCTGTGCAACTACAGCACTGCAACAGGTTGCACGAGTGCTACTAGACTGCCTCAGTCAAGTCAGTGAGACTGATGTATGAGCTCTTCAGCAGTGGTTTAAGTTATTCCAGCAAATACAGCCTTACAACCCCATCCTTTGTAGGAAGGTTTTCTATGTTCTCATGCATCATACCTGTCAACACAGTAATTTAAGTGGTAGAGTTCTCCTCCTTAAATGAAGGAAAATGCCTCACTTTACATTCACATCTATCAAGAGGAATAAACTCTTCCTGAAAAAGACACTTTTCTGTTAGTAAATTGGCTCAATATTTTTTTATTAGTAAATAATAAATTTTTATAAGTTGAATTCTAACCAGTATAGTCACAGAATATTTTCAAGAGTAGACCATAGCTGGACAAAAACATTCCTGGAAATAATTCTATCATTTATGCTGCAGTGGAATTTTGAGCATATAAATGTAAGGGGAAATTAACGCACGTGATTCTGCAAAAAGCAAACCACTATGCAAAGAGTTGTCTAAGATAGTATAAAGTTTCCAAAAGTACACCTATAAATAAAAGTCACCTTCAAGATTTCCATAAAATGAGAAGACATGAGTTGACGTACCTGATGAAGGATAAATTGAGAAAGCACTACATCTTCTACTGAAATAAAGCAAAACACATTTAACTGTCGATTCAAATAAGGGAAAACATCTTCAGGTTTTCAGCATTCAGTTCAAAATGAATTGCTATAAGTTACTAAAACAGAAGGAGGTGTAGGGGGTGTGGGGTTACAACTGGAGGCTGAAATTCTAACACCTGCAGAAGCCACAGCAGAAATACATCAAATTCCTGTGACCGAATCTGTAATACGATCACCATGATCCAAAGCAACTCTGACCTATTTGTTGGTCCAATTTATTTTTGTTTGTCCACAAGCTTTCTGCAATCAAAAGGAGTCACCACAAAAGCAGGCTTCTGCCTACGCCTCTAAGCCTGATCTTTTGTACGCAATGACGGTGCAGGTTTATCTTCAGCCTTTAGTATTCTTCAGGATCTGGGCGGCCTCTATTCAAATTGTAATTGAAAATAAATTAACTTCTCCAAGTACGCCAGGAGTCAGGAAGCCTCAGCAGAAGGAAAACCTTGTACTATACAAAGATATCTCTACTTTCACCTGGCTTGTTTAATACATCAGCATTCGTAGTACCTAACCCCCACTCAGTCAATGTGCCTTCATCCGCCAGAAGGAAAGACGCTGAAGTGAAATTCCCAGGAGCAAGAAGGTCAGCTAGAACAGTCCCAGCATACTATAATGAACATTTTTAAAGGTAAATGGGCAAATCCAGACTTATTTTGTGTTTGGGTTAAAGCAAGGGAAAACGCCAATGATTCAGGTGCTAATGAGTGCCATGCTTTCAAGGACGATTTCTCTCTAACCTGTAAGGGCACAGACAAAATGAGTTCAGGTCGTATGTTGAAACTTACACCTTTACCCAGCCGTGACACTGGCATACTGTACTGTTAAACTATTTTTTCTAGGCCTAAACAGCATGATTGACTGCTTAGAAGATGGATTTTACATTGTACATCTTTGTATTTCTATTTAATTAAGCTGTTTCTTCTGTTCTTTTCTCAGATTTGCACTCCAGTATCTTTAAAAGAAAACAAAGAAAAAACTCCCTTAAGCAACGCTGCATTTTACCCGAGTTGCCACTTTGGAAAATACCTGCATGTCTTGGAAAAAGACCCAACCGTGTGATTCAGTACAGGGCTTAAATGAGCAATATGTACCTATCTCTTTTTTATTTATAAGGTTTCTCTTCCCCATCCGCCCTTACCCCTGCATTACCCTGCTTCATTCCCCAGGAGCACCTCAAACCTCTGCTCCTTCCACCGCAACGATCCCCTCGCCTGGTTCCCCCTGCTACCTCTGTGGGATTCAACAGAGGTAATTTTACATGTTAATTAATACCTTTTCCATGAGGAAAGCTAAAGGAAAACTAATTAATAGCTTTTCCATGAGAAAATGTATCTTCTGTTGCCATATTTTCAGCTGGTGTTTTATTAACTCCGTTGAGGGAACAAAAATGACACAAACAGCTTTTACTCCATGTTTATAAGTTAGTTAAGACCATAGTTTGCAATCAGAAACTTCAGTGTTTTCAAACAAATCAGTGTGGATTCAGCACTTCCGAAGCTCCTGCAGACCACTAAGAACAACCTAAGTGCCGATGTAACAGGTTGCATCGACTTCAGTCTGCTTTGAGGAAATTGGCTTCAAATGATGCAAATCTCTTTCAGGGAGTCACTCTGCTACACAGCCAGTTACACGAGTTTTGCATGCGTCACGTGGAAGCCACCTCTAACACCTCTAAACCAGGTACCACACATCGTTTTGACCTGCTCTCGGCTTTAAAAGCAAATGGCTTCAACAAAGCCATTGCAAATCTGCATTAAAATGAGGCTAAGAACAATTCAATATAAGAATAGCATATTATTCATTACTGTACCTAATATAAAACACTCAGTTTGAAGGGCAGGGCTCTGAATCTCCAAGATGCCCCCGTTCTAGATAACTGCCTTGACCAGAACACTACAGAATCTCCTCTCGTTTGCTTGAGGTTTTTTTGGTTTGTTTGGTTTTTTTTCCATTCTGAACTGTAATGAAAGGGAACGGCCATAGAAACTGCCAATGTCACTTCACACCTCAGAATCACCTCGCTGTACACAACGTATGTAAAGCAAGAACAAGCTTACGGTTAACAGACCAAGCCCGACACTCAGGTAGTTTTAAATGCGAGTGCTGATGTTAATCCGGACATAAAAAGCCTGTTGAAGGCGTTATTAAATGTCACGAGATCTCAGTTAAATGTTGAGGCTTTTTTCCCTCTCTACAAGAAAATATTTCTATGTATTATAATCAAGTTGCAGAAAACCAAAACATTTTCTTAAGAGAAATGAATCTGAAGCTCTAGATTGCTACAATTTGTAGACAGTCCAAGGTGTCTAATCTTCCCAGAAAACTACACACCAAATGCAAACACGAAATTCCGCCTTCTTTTGGCCACAGACTTGTATCGAGTGACACAGCGTGAAGGATTAACATGAAACATGTATTTCTGAATAATTTTAAAAGGACAGGTTAGTGTTTTGACAAGATTTTATTGTGAAACATTGGATTTAGAAAAGGTACAAAATGTCAACGGCCAGGTGTGTGCCAGTACAGTATTTCAACAGTCTGTACATGTGGACAGCTGAATAGCTTCACTGCAGAACACAGATCCAGACATACTATCTACCGGGGGCTGCGATATTCACAGGCTTAAAATACATAAATAACTTGAGCCAAAGTGGCCATTATTGGTCAATGCTAATCAACATCTGGAAACAGGCTAAAAAGCACAATACAGTACAACAATCTCCTCGCAGATCCACGTTTAAAGAACATCAGTTTATCATGTCAATAATCTACAGCTCCAGGACACTATTCTCAGGACTGGGATTCAGTTGGCTAGTTTACAACTTCAGAAAAATTCATGTTATAAACGAGATTATGGAAGAAAACCCGCAGGTATTTAATTAGCACTAAACACTGTGAAGCCCCTACAAATTTTTCAGACTGGGATTTATAAAGTTGATTACTTCTAATACAGAACTTCAGTTTGCTCCTTTAAAATGCCCTTACTGCAGCTTCAACAGATATCATTAAGTGATTTTATTTCAAACATTTTGCTATGCATTTCTGTGTTTTAAAATCAATTTCACCAAACATGGGTTGCCATTCAACTGGAAAAAAACCCAGTACCGAAATACTACTCTGAATTAATGAAAGTCATAAATTTGTGTATTAATAATAACATCCCCGAAGGATAGCAGCATTCTTTACCCTAATTTAGCAAGTTTAAAGAGGAGCATTTATAAACATACAAAGTTGATTTTAGAGTATAAAAATACACGTATGCCATATGAAACAAGCTAGTTTAATTTTTTCAAATTTTTCAGTAGTCTGTCATTGCTGGAACTTGTTTGAACTGCTGAAAAGGTGTTCATAGCTCAGTACATGGGTGGACAGACAAGGAACTTCAGATTTTAGTTCTTTAATTAAAAGGTGTGTAGCTTATTCTACACAGTTAAGCTTACTGAAATATAAGCAGTTACCTTGTGACCAATCAGTACCCAGAGCTGAACTAAACCTTCACTTAGACAGGTCTACTTCACTTTATGCTGATTTGTAACTCACTTTCCTGAATGGAGACCTTGGGGTATTCTAAATTTTGTTTAACAGAGCTTTCTGAATACGACTGATGTCCATTAGGAGCAGAGCTAAACTTAAAGTGATGTAATTTAGAATCAAAATCTACCCAAAACATTAAAACAACTCACCCTTTGACACCACATCCACTCCCTTAATTAATTTCAAGACCATTATTAGTTTTGGCTACCCTTGCCTCATTGCGTATTTACTGGGGGATGAGAATGATGGTTAGACTTGATGATTTTAGAGGTCTTTTTCAACCTATGACTCTATGAATCTTGTAATTCATTAAGAAGAATCACCATAAGTTACAACTAAGTACATTAAATCAAACAATGGGGAATAATTTTTTCAAAAAAATGTCAGCGGATATCCCTAGCTAAGCAGGTAACGTTGGGAGCACAATGCCTGCTATGGAATTAAAATTAGTGCTGTGCCAAATGGGAAAAATACATAAACAAAACAAACCACTAAACTCCAGTGTGGCAAAAAACATTTTGTTTTTGTTCAGGAAGCATTTGGCATGAGCAGCACTAACAAAGTCCTATACCACACAGACACAAGCTACAAAGGTTATCTAAAGCCAATACTCACTGTCCATCAATTAGCTAGCTCTTAATGCTGCTTCAAGCACTGCACTAGCCACTTTGATCTTTGTTTCAGATTCCTCTGTACAAACATTTATATTTACAGAAAACATTTATTAAACATGATTTTAAAACATAAAAACCTTATGTACAAAATACCAACATTCCTATAAATAAACAGTTGGAGAAAGGCACTTGCAAGAAAAATCTACAGTAAATCTTACAAAAACCACACTGCCTCTGTTACTGTACAATAGATAATCTTTCGGTAAATCCCTATCACAAGAATGTAAAACACTAATTACTTGTTAGAACTAAATATAACCGTTGCAGTTGTATTTACACATACATATATATGCCTTTTTTCAGTTTCACTTGAGAGCACCATGATTTTCATTCTAAAGTTGTATTTTGATACGAAGTAAAAGAGCAGTTGCCAGAAACCAGTGTTCAGTGTCACTGCAGGTTCATAAACGCTTGGCTGACATCAGGGTACTTTAAAAGACTCGGTTGCTGCTGTGTAAAAAGTACACCTAGTTTGTTATTGCATGTTGTCCTTTTAGAGAGAGCACTGCTATGTTCTCTATGCCATCGTTTAATACTATTGCTGGCAAAAAGTTTCCAATATCAAAAAAATAAAAACATTCTTCAAGCCAGTTGAAGTATTTCATCTGAACAGTAACTAAAAAAAAGCTGCGTATTAATTATAAAAACGTGTAGGAAACATGCCAACTAATCTGGTGTGCAAAAATAGTTTTTCCACTACGCAGGATTTTAAGGGCTTCACAAAATTACTCAAATCTACATTGAGTAGCAAACCCCACAAATGACCAGTTCCTCAAGGTGACGTCAGTATACTCCCGCTTTTATCAAACTTTTTACCCTTTGACAACGCTGCAACCTGTTTGAGTAGTTCTCTGTTTTTGGCCTGCAATACAGATAAAAAAGGTTTTATGAATTACTGAAACGTCTCAGATAGCAGTGTCATGCACTAATTTCCCACTGCATTTATGAAACAAATTCTGGAAATGCGCATGCCAACAACATTCAAAGAAGATAACGATCACTTTTCAAAGATTTGTGTATGCTTTTTGATATACCTATTCCATCTTTAACAGAAAAGACAACCACATTTCCTGTATTGCAAAATTTAGTATCTGAGGTGTTGCCCTGAGTATCCGTTCTGTCTGTGATTTATAAGGCAACTAATTTAGGCTTTCTTCCTGATAAAGCATGCTTTAACAAGGGACATTTAACTGTCAGTTGTGTTACCCTGAGCTGTTCAATCAGATCAACAGCATGCTAACAATTGATTAAATATCAGAGAACAGACCTAAAAAATTAACATAACCTTTGAGAAAGGTAAGCCTATATCTTTGTGAGGTAAGCCTATATCTTTTAAAGTTAGAAAGCAATTAATACAGTGAGTTTATTTAATTCATATGGAGATTGTCTGTTGACTGCAGAACTGCTGTACAATGCATCTGAAGTTCAACATGGTAATGACCATTCAAGAACTTGGTACTACAGAATCACAGAATGATCACGGAATGGTTTGGGTTGGAAGGGACCTTATAGACCATCTAGTCCCAACCCCCCTGCCACGGGCAGGGACACCTTCCACTAGACCAGGTGGTTCAAAGCCCCGTCCAACCTGGCCTTGAACACTTCCAGGGAGGGGGCATTTCATTGCTGTGAGTGAACAGCCTGAATACGTAATTCCATAGGATGTATTTCTCAAGTGTTGATACCAATTACTCACCTGCAACTGTTCCACAGTTTCCTTGTGAGCTTTCTCCATACTGTTCATCTTTGTCCTCAAGTTAGACTCCTGGTACTGGAAGTCTGCCTTCAGTTCTGTCAACTGAAAACACAAACTCTATGAAGCTTCCATGGACTGCTACAGTATACATCATCTAATCAATCTGTGCAGTCTTTATGGAAGCCTCAGGAATCTCAGGAGACACTGTATTTCTTCACTGTTGTAGCATGCACAGTTCAGCACTTGAGAAGTAGCTTGAAAAGTAAGTACGTCTATTTTATATGAAGAAAACAACTGTATTTATATAACCATAACATTTGCTCAGGATTTGGTATAAAGAAGGTTAACCTTCAACAAAAAAAAATTAAAAAACAAGACTAATGATTTATAATCTTAGCTGTTCTTTCAGCTGTGAGACGCTTATCACAATCTTCAGTTATATGGTATGGTAACACATGAAAAATCTTTCATACAAAGACAACAGAAAGGACTCCGCTGTGTCCTTCTGTGCTACAATTATCCTAAACAGACGTATACGTTCCAGAGTTTCACTGCTTCTCAACCCAGAACAATAATGAATTAAACTGTGTTATTAGCAATGTGTAATTAAAATGACTTAATTTATGGTTTAATTCTGTGTGTATGGTGTAGTAATGCTGCCAACTGTGGGTCTCTCCTAAGATCCAGATGACATTGACTAAGGCAGGTGTTTCTCAACTGTCATATATCCTTCTCTCCAAGAAGCTGAACTCTTCTTCTGGAGGCATGTGCAGCTGGGTGAACTACTAACAGTTTGTTGTGTATGGACCCAGAAGTCTTAGGAACCACTTATTTAAAAAGTTTAGCTCCTCAAAGCATCCCAGATTCACCTGGTTACTTTGAACCTCTCTGGACAATTTGAATTTATCAGGAAATGAAGCCTCCTTGCTAGCAAACCAGCCCGCTACAACGAACCAGAGCACACATTCCTAAAATGACTACCAAGGCTGCTATCACCAACCTCAAGCACGTGTCAAATCACAGGTAGAGAAACAAGGTATTCAAAAGAACTGTCGATCAAACGGTCCTAAACAAAGTGCAGGTATCTCGGCACAAGGATACATACCTCACTGCACACAGACCGCTGCTCAAGGTTTGTACTTGCGGCTGCTGTAAATTCCAGGGGATCCGGTACAAAACCACATACCACAAACTAAATACAAAACAACCCTCGTGGTGGTATTGCACCATGGTAAAGTATGCAACTACATGAGCACACACGCTACCTGTGAACACTCAGCGTACCGTGGTCACTTCCTAACGATCAAGTCTCAAGGCCCCATGGTAATGCCTTGCTTGGCGTCTCACTAACATTTTGTCCAGAAAGCCAAACCCGGCTGGCACTGCAAACAACAAGCACTGGTAACGACACGGCTGAGATCTTGACTTGTAACAAAAATGATGAACGAGGCTTGTCTGTAAAGCTGGTGTACTGGGTTGGTTTTGTTGCCACACGTTATACATTTCAGAGATTTTTCTTTTGGAGCGCTCCAAACTGTTCAAATGCTATCCCTGCACAAATCCTGGGACAAGATCTCAGCAGGAAAAAACAGGAATCTCCCACAGGTCTGGCTCAGGCTTTTATCCCAGTATGCACCTTTATATTTACTGTCTCACAGTCAAAAAAAACATCTGCAGTGCATTCATTTATTGTGAAATTTTCAGCTATGCAAACACTGTACGATGTGTTCAGCTTTTCTCCCCCCCGCAGCAGCTGAAGAAAGTGACTTTCTGAAAGTGAGTAATGCTTGCCTCAAGGAGTCTTTAAGTTCAAAGAACTCTGAGCTCAAATAAATAGTTCTTAGCAGTGGGGATACTAAAATCATTAGATGCCCTCCCTACGGAAACAGCACAGAACAAGTTACTGCGGTGGTAATGCAGAAGTAGGTGACATTTCCTTACCTAACCCTTTTGTTAGCTTTGCCCAGTAGATCAAATATAAAAAGAGGTAAGTGAATTTCCTACTGACTCAGGATATTCTACTGGCTTTATCAGAGAGAGATCAAGGCCTTAACGTCTGTCCTTTGAAGAAAATACCTAAAGAGAATCCATGACAGACTGCTCAGCTCGTTCACATTAACTGCTTAAAGGCTTGAAACAGCAAGTACTTCCAACACCAGGTATAACAGCGGCATAAAGGAAGAAACGTTCAATATCCTTTACACAACACATTTAAGTGGAGAAATGAAGATACTGAACTACAGTTTAAAAGTGAAAGCATTTTCCTTTCAGGATCAACAAGCCTTTCTTAACCATCAATGTTCTGATAGGCCACCATGAATCTTTAATGAAAATTTTACTTGAAAACATAGCAAATTTGTTTTTTCTATAATTCCACAACCTACTTAATCCTGAACAGACACTCCAGAGCCACTGTTACAGACAGTGTCTGAAAAGCATCTAGTCAACCAGATTGCAGAGAAATAAGCTCTAACAAAGGCAAAGTACGTATTTGCAGTTATTTCCATTTTCTTGTTAGCCATTAGGTTATTTGAAGGGTGAATCCTTTGAGGGATGACCTTCACAGGTCCTTCCAACCCAAACTGTTCCATGATTCTATGAATCTCTCGTATGAGTTTCACTGCAGCCACTCAGGCCTGACTATTTCGCTTAACTTTCGTTGACTGCCAAGCATCTAATCCAAGCTTTTCTTCTAGTCTCTGGTCATCCACAAAGATGTGACAACCTACACTAGACACACGCCACCAATCTTCTAAAATCAAAACACTTCATTTTCATACACTGTACATGTAAATTTAGACACCACCTCATTAACTATAGCTACAGCTGCTTTAGTTTAAAACTAAACAAAAACCACGCTAAACTCAGAATGGTTACTACTCTTAACCCTACTCTTTTCTTGTGTGCCCATCAGCCTATGGAGGTACCTGGGATCTTTGTCGTGGCTCAGTTTAGGATATGTAAAACATACAAACCACTGTCTGGCATTTCATGCTCTCCTGTGGCACGCAGCCTGCGTTAACAGTGAACCAGATGGCTAGCTTCTCGATGGCTCAAGTGAGACAAGATGAATTCCTCTGACTTGGGGCCAAAATATATTTGTGATACCAAAGTCCCAAACTTGTCCTTTGAAAGGTAAGACCTGATTAGTTGCTATATAAAAAATGGTATCTGATTTTTGTTTTATCTCACCATTTTGACATTGTTAGGAGTCTACAAAATACAAAACAAAATTATAAAGTTCTTATTAAGGAGGTGCAACTTTTACCTTTTTATCTTTTTCTAAAATAGTCTGATCTCTTTGCTGCAGAAGACGTTTAAGTGACATTACTTCTTCTTTCAGCTGACTTATGAGGACAAAGTTGTCAGTTCCTCCACTGTCTGCTGACTGATTTATAGAGCTACTAAAATCAAAAAACAATAGTCACTTACAACATCAATAGAACAAAAAAGTACTTTTTTTTAAATTTCAAACTGGGTAATTAATAATTCCACAAACATCCTTAAGGACTAATGCAAAAAAAATATGTACCTGACAGAAATGGATGCAACTGGCAAATTACCTTACTAATGGCACACATTACATACACCTGCAGAAATATAATTAAGTATTAGCTTTGAGGGGGACAAATACCTTTCGACTGAAGCAGCCATGTTTACTTTTATTCCAACCGTTTAGCCAGAGACAGAATAAAGATTCAGTCTCACATATTAAGGTCCAAAAGACTTCTCTAGATACTAGGTCAGCTTAGAGCAACAGGTTCAACCCTGCATCTAATTGACAAAACACTGATGTCAGGGAATACTGTTTCATTGATAACTCTTGCCTCGTACACAAGCTTTATTTAATTTTTCCCCAAACAGCTTAAAAGCAGAAAACAGTGCCAGTTTTCTGCTAATAAAGTCATTTAGTTGACTGACAGCACTCAGATGCCACCCAAAAACCTGTCTGGCTGGACAATAGTTTCACCTCCCTCGTTCTTCAGACCAAGAAAACAAAGAAAAAAAGCAACTGGCCACAAACCAGTGTTCTATTTGGTTGAAATGGCTCAGCTTTACAAAAATACAACTTTACCTATCTCCATTTGATGGCTTGGATTCCAGTTTGGGTTTTTTCTTTGGAGTTTCATTCTGAATAGCTGCAGAGGATTTATGGCTGAAATCAAACAAAATGTAAACCTAAAGCCTCATACTATATCACTCTCTAATATCACCATTTGGTACATGTTAAATAACTAACTCATGCTCCTAGCTGGAATGCTAGAGACTAGCCAGAAATGCAAGAGAGAGAGTCCTTTAAATGAAACTGCAAGATAAATTAAAAGGAAATTAATAAATAATATCATATTTACCTCTGTTTCCATAGTCCCTGATCTTGTTCTGGACTCAGGCTGCTGATTCTGAAATATGCAAAATGTATTTGGTAACTGACCGAACACGGCATTATTTCTAAGTTGATGTGAATGGTATCTGTACTTGAGAAAAATCCATACACCCCCCGCTTTTTAAAAAATTATAAAAATGACCAATTATGAATTTGCAGTTGGACGGTCATATTATCTGTCCTATTCATGATCACTCCTCACTACATCAGGATGCTATACAAATAATTCTTAGCTAAATGTTTATGCTATTGTAAAACATAAGGGGTAGACTTCCAGACTGATGGCTAAAACTGTTTTCTGGCATCTCCCAATTTTTGTGAACTTCACACTGCTAATCTTGTACTCAGCAAGCTGGTCTAAAAGAGCATTCCTGGGATTCCCATGCTGCAATATGAACATTGCCTAAAGTGGTGCTTATGGGATGGCATAACAGCAAAACTGTTTTGGATTTGATTGCAATAATCTCAAAAGTCATTTTAATAAACACCATCAATATAGGAATAGTAAAGCGTAGAAGACTGCACTAAATGCAGTAGTTCAATAAGTGTGTATTTCTACCTCACTGTCTCTATTGTGTCACCTTAACAATAAATGAAATACTGGAGAGGGAAGAAGAGTCCTGTATTTATTGGACCAGAAGCAATGGACCCATGGCAGCCTACAGAAAAAAGGTGCTAAACTGGGAACATTGTGATCTGTAAGGAGACAGGCTTACTTTTATAATTCTTGAGTGTATTAGAAGCTCTATTCTGTAGTAGAGAGCTAACTATTCTTAATTTAATCCTTAATATAGCTCTGCCACATGCATTAAATTAGATTTAGCCTCTAGTAACTTGATTTTCAGAACAGATTTGAGAAAACACGAACAGTACAATGACTGTCTGCACAACAAGAATAATTTTCTTCTTCAAATCGCTAAAGAAAATCCATTTTTTTTTTTTTAAGTGAAAGTATGTATGGAATATTCTCCTCACTCACAATATAATTCCATCTTATTTTGCTTTTAAGTCACACTTAGTTAGGCAAGTTTCAGTAAAACCGGAAAGCTGTAAGCACCGGGAAAGTGAAGCTTCGACTGAGAGTGTTTGTGTAGGTCTGGGGCAGGGTCATTACCATTGTAGCACTATCCAATGCAAAAATAAATATAATGTTATGCTGCCATAAGCCTAATGATGAAAATAAGAGTTATGGCTACTATTATACTAGCATAAAAACCAAATCAGTCCTGGGATTTATAATTAAACTAGTATGTCCATTAAAGTTGGCATGCTGCTCGTCCCACGGGCAGAGACGGCATACTGAGAAAAGCTGCAAAGGTGGGACAAAACTGTGTGAAATGTTATCAGACTGCCAGTAACTGAACTGACGGTGTTATTTTCCTATGTCTGTTTGAAAGCCACTCATAAACTGCTTATTCCAGCAGGATTTGAGAATGAAAATTAGCAAAGAGATACAAACTGGTCCTAGACCGAGAGTTATCCCACACAGTTGCTTCTGCTTCTCCATTTAACTGCAACTATGTGCACGCACACACGTCAGGATGAAGTAAGTTAGGCTGAGGATTCTGAGCTGTTCTGTGCTCACTGCTAATACACACCTTTTAACCCATGGTAACTGCACACAAAGTAGCAGTTATCGCATGGCAGTTACTGCTTAGCAAGCCAAATTCAAGCTTGTCCCCAAGTAACTTGGTCTGTAGCCATTCTGTGGGTTTCTTTTCTAGACTTGCTACCAGTTTTAACATCAACTAGTCTGACAATCACCCCAGAATTTCTGCTTTTTGCTGACCTCCCCTCATCCAAACTGTAAAAATACAAGGATTGTGTCCGAGCATGGAAGAACAACACTCTGCTACTGCTTTTGATGCCGTACTTCAAACGGCATTTCTTCTTTCCTTTGATATGATCTCAGCACTAACAGAACACAGGAGAGGAAGAGGCACCAACAGCTACTGTAATTTTTGACATACTTACTTATGATGACTGCTGCTGTGACGATGATGATGATGGTGATGGTGGTGGTGTTTTGAATGATGCTGGTCTTTCTCAGTAAGAGATGAGGATGAGGAGTTAGAATGCGAAGATCCTAGGCTCTTCCTCTGTTCTTTTGTCTTCTGTAGCACTCTCTTGTAGGACAGCGTGCAGAGCCAACACAGTAACTTTCCATCAACCTTTTGGAAAATAATTCACAGCAGAGTTTTTTTTCCAAGTATACTTGCACTAGAAAGATGTACTTCAATATTTGTACGAAAAACTTGTTTCACTTCATCTGTTATCTTTGGGAAAAATCTCTTTGGTACGAAACAGCACTACTGTATCTCCAGCATATGCATGTTATCTTTTAGTAAAGTGAATCTTTTTCCATTTCTTTTTGTCATTTAAAGTTATGCTAGAAAGTTGTCTTCGCAAGTGTTGGACTCGCTCTGTATCACAGAAGTGACAAGAACTTTTGAAAGGGACAAATCGTTTTTAGTTTAGACACCATGTACCCTCTCAACCCATCGTATTCCAGGCAGAATCAAGATGTCCAGCCCATGTGTTGCTTGTACCAACTAAATTCTGCTATAAAACAGCACTATTCTTTGGTTCAGGCAAGAGGCTTTTGAGGTCATTTCCTCAGCACCTTCTGGAATGAGAAAGTGGCACTCGCCAAAGCTATTTCAGCAAGCAGAACACAAAGGGCTGCTCAGAGCAGTCCCCCTCTCTGGTGCTGTACTTTCAGGCAAGGCAGGCGAATCGAAGAGGTAAAGTGACAGACCTCTGTTACGGACATACATAAGAGCCAACAGATGGCAAAATAAAAATGAAAAAAAAAAAAAAAAAAGTCAAAGCACCAGGAACTATTCAGCTGCTTAACCTCTGCCCCCCAGCTATGACTGTCAGCTTACACTCCAGCTTACTTTTAACGATAGTGATTTAACGTAAATCAGCTCCATAGCTAAAGTAACAATTGCAACTTGCAAAATCTAACTCAAATATTGTAAAGCGCAGCAACTTTAACTTAGTATTAGTGAACTTCAGATACGTTCCTGTTAACCTTTCTCTTGTGAAGGCGGAACATCGTCTGTTGTCAGCCTAAGCTGTTGCAGCTGCGGAGCAAAGCCTACCTTCCTTCTTCCCTCCTCTTTTCGATCAAAAGCACACTGCTGTTTGCACTGTTCGCATGTCTGAGGTGGGCCGTACTTCTTCTCCGAGTTGGTGCAGCGCTGACATTTTGTGCCAATAAACGCTGCAATAATGTTACAATACTGACAAGGCTTGGGCTGAAAAACAGAGAAGTTGAACTTAAGTTAGTACATTTACAGTTTCTGTAATGATCACAGGTAGATCAAACCACACGATGACGCTTCTAAACTACCAGCGCTTCACATAGTAATGGTAGGAAAAAGGTTCTTTGAGATAGACTATCTGGAGCACTAAACTTTTCCTCTAAAACGATGCTCCTTCATCGGTCAAACTGTCTGGACTTTCCATGAAAACCCAGGTACATACTCCACGGAAGAAACATGTACAATGTGATTGCTTACCTCTACCCTGCCTCTTTTTAGTTTTTTTTTTTTTGGTTTTTTTTAATATGACGACATTTTCTCTCTGTTTCACAACATTTCTAAAGAAATTACCTAAAAAAAGTTAAAAAGAGTAATCAAGTCATTTTCTTAGGCTGGAAATTCCTGAAAACATCCCTCTACCTTGCACTACTCAGGGATGGACAACCCTACAGCTTCCAGACCAGTTTCCTGATCCCTGCAATTCTGCAAGAAACTTGAAAACAAACAAACAAAAAAACACAAACCACAAGAACAAAACCCCCAAACCACCAACAACTTCAGATACCACCAGGTCAGGTTATCAACTTTTATTCCATACACTCAACTAGAATAATACACCGCTGGAAAATAAAATTGCTGTCAGTTTTCATAGGTTAGAAGTGGCTGATTATCTTCAATGCAGTTCTGTTTTTTTTTTTTTATGAACTACTGACAAAAGACACTGTTGGATCTGTCTTGCCCATCATTTTACTACATCTTAAGCTTTTGAAGAATGTTCTTATTTCAGTTTACAATCACAAAATGCCTGCCTAGATACCAACAGCCGTTATGTTTCTCAAGTAAGCTGAGTTTCATCTAATATGATTGGTCAAGTACACAGAAGTTATGCACTTTTGTTTTATAACAAGATTATCTTGACATCGTCTATAAACCAGTATCTGCGGTGCGCTCAGACACAACCTGTGTATTTGTATATTAAAAAATCAATTTTTCTAACAGAACTGAAGCTGAAAGTCAAGATGAGAAAATGTAAAGTAACACGCATACAGCTAACACTGGTAACATCTTTCCTACTTAGTAGCTTGCCGTCATTCACACGCATTTAAACATTTTAAGACTTCTGTAATACGAAGTACACGGCATTGTTCGATTTTCACATTCACCCTTCCTCACAGAGACAGCCAACGGTCTGTCTGCCGTCAGGCGTGCGTTTAGGAGAACATGCAAAGAACCGCTTTACATCCATAAACCGCGCACGCAACGCTCTGAACAGCCCCGCTGCAGCTGTCAGTGCCTGCTCGGCTACGCACAGCCCCGAGGGCTCTCCACGCGGGGGACACCGCGACCCGCCAG